GGCACAGGCTTTTGTCACAGTGGCTGACATTTTGCCTGTTTGGAAGGAAATGAATTAGAGGAGAACGAAGAGCATATGTTGTCAAGTGGGTGTAAATCAAACTAAGCAAACAAAGGAGCACAGGGAGAACTCGGCTGACATGGAGGCTGAGAGAAGAGAAGAGGCTGGAAGCAGCAACAGCTGCAGATGCTTTTCAACAGACGTATTTCCTTAAAAATCAGCTTAGATTTCCACATGTTGATGAAAAGCTGGGTAAAAGGTAGCAGCAATCAATGCACCTACCCTGGGAAGTTTCTAGCAGAATGCCCACAAGTTGGTTGCAGTGTTCAGTATTACTTATTTGGGTCCTGACTCATGATACTTGTGCAAACACGTATTGACCCTCAAGAGTGGAACGCTCTCTCATACGTTATAAGTCCTATAAGTACCTTTGTCTACAAAAGCAGACTTGCTTTTGTACAAAGTAATAGCACACAAGGCCTTGTTAAAAACAGATTTCAACTCAGCTTATTCTTCAGTTACTCTATAAAGCCGAAAGTGGTTTTCCTCATTGTTCTTTATAGCCTTCCCAGATCTTCTAGCCACAAACACATCATTTACTTAAGCCACACATAAACAACCATGATTTACGCCAACTTTTCATTCAATGGAAAGCACATGAAAGAACTACTCTCCTTCTGTGTGTTACTTGCCTGCAAGGCCTGGAGTCTCTCTTTGCAAATTCCTCATGGTAACCCCAGGCAGTTGTCAAAGCTTGTTCCATATTTGGCATTTTAAGAAATTCCCATGAGTTTATTCCATTACAGAATCATTCAGTCACCATTTGGCACCTTTTTTTGCACCAGATGATGAGTCAAAGAACTTCATGATCTCTGAAAAAGCCAGACCCTTAACCGGACTTGACGTCATCCTCTTGTCAGAATGCAAGACATATCTACTGCAGTTGCCATACAAACTTGTATGACAACCAACGATTGTTATACAGTTCCTTGTCTGACAATAAGTGAAGTGTTATAATTCAGATTGCTATTCTGCAAGTGAATAGCGATAGAGGGTCACCATCTCAATCACAAAAAACTGAGCCAGGATGGATAAAAGCTGAATCAACAAAAACAGTCAGATGAAACCAGTTAAAAAAAGCCCTTGCCACAATATACAGAAATAAATAAAACACCACCCCTTCTGCTTTTTAAAATCAGGGTTGGTCTCAGTTGAGAACATGCAGTACGCTTGTCTCTTTGGCACTATGCCCTGTACACCAGAAGTAACAGAATTTCTCCAAAATCCCCTCCTCCCAGCTAAGAGCTGGCAAGGAACACAGCATTGATTGCTGAATCTGAGGGCTGGTTGACAGCCCTCCCTACCCAGTGTGATTCAGAGCCCTGCAGTAGCCGTTCTAAGATTAGCAGACCATTACCTAAGAATACACATCTCGGATCTGTTCTCCTGACAGGGCGAGCACTCCTCTCTGGACCTGCTGGTGCAAAGCAGCTCAAATCGGTGTCATTCAATGGAGTACCCTATGACGCATCTGAGCTCAGATGGAGCGCACTGTGCCATGATAACTCTCAACATCTCACCCCTATAATGGCAGCGGGACGTTTAGCTGGCATTGCACTCAGCACTTGCTGCCTCGGGCATATCTCTGCGCTCTGTACATTTTTGCTGATTCTGTAGCACTAATAAATGTCAAATACTGGCAGTCTTTGCTTAGCATTTGTTGAAAAAAATACGCTGCTTGTCATTGTGCTTACACCTGTGGTTTCTGCTGCTCTTGTTTTCCATGCTGCACTGAAGAAGCCACTATTTGAGACCTATTGCTAGGCACACCTGCCTTATTCTTTGCGGTGGGTCCCTAGGAACCACCACTTGGTGGATGAACACTTGCATCCCTCAAAAACTGGAAAAGGCAGCCAAGTACATTGATTGACACTTTACATTTCAAGCATTGCACTAGAACACAGCCATGGCTTCAACAGCCCTTGCCTCCCCCTTTCTGCAGAGCAAACCTTGGACCTAGGAGACCAGGGCTGATGGGTGGGACCATGCAACATAAACTACATGCTTTACAGCTGGCATCACTGTCAGCAAATCCAAAAGCCACATCTGAGACCATCTGCTAGGACCTGATACTTGCCTTTCAGCACCAGCCACCTTCCCCATCCTCTAGGGTTTCACAATTGTTAAGAGAAGGGGCAACATGACCTTGCAGAGCCCTGAAATCCTCAATATACTTTATCCGTCAACAGTCAGATTAGGGTAAATTCACCACAGGCCCTTCTCCTAGTAGATGTTTCTCACCTATGGGTGAAGAAATTCACATGTACACGTGCTGCACTCTGTATGAAAACACTGATTATTACACTGTGATTATGTGGGGAGGATGGGCTAGTCTCATTTTGCAGGCTGTTGTGGACTACTGTGGGAGAATCACAGATGGCATAATAAATTAGTCTGTATTCATGCTTCCTATATTTTCCACAACCTATTCTTCCAACGAGAAACATAATTTTCCAGGAAACATCAGATTTCAGAGTCAGATTTTCAATCTGCATCATGTGTAATGCCATGTGCAATCTATTATTTGGGTAGTATTGTTTCACCCAAACAACCAAGAAGCACATGCATAATTCCATCATGCCCAGAAGTTCGTGAAGGGTTAATGAGGGGTGTACATTGGCTGGCTGGGTGGATGCTGGAGGAGCCTTCCACTGAGCATCACCATGCAGCTGCCACTGCCAGAGATCTGGGGCAGTTTGGCGTAGCAGGGCACAGGCAGGGAATCATACGGAGGCTATAAATGGCATTATGTGTGTTCGTATAGGCCACTTCGGGCTTCTTAACCTTGAACATTACTTAGTGTGATAGCCCATCTGCCAGAAATTCCTCCCAGAACAATGATCTGAGCCTGGATCACTTTCACACATACAGCAATATGTCTGGGGGCTCATCTCCTCTGGCCTCCCGAGAGCTCCATGGTGCTCCAGCACTAGCTTTTATCTTACTTATTTAAAAACTGCCAGAATAAAACTACCCTGGAGGCCAAACAACGAAAGGGCTTCTCTGCCAGACCTGTGTTCTCCCAGCATGCAGCCACAGCTGTATTGTGCATGACGTGACAGCACGTAGGATTGTGTGAGGGCAGGACTCAACAGGTGAGGTGAGACGGCCTGCTGAGATAGTCCTGAGGGACTGCCTTAGGCAGAGAAGATGAAACATGGTTCAGTGTGGATCCTGGAGCAATTTTCCTTCTTTTATATGCCCAGGTTTCCTCAACAGCACTGCCAGTTGGTTTGTTTCAAACCTGAGTGGGCTCGTGTGTGTTCAGTGGACATGACCAGGGTCCTACAAACAAACCAGCAATGGGACCAAACTGCCATCTACTTGTTCATGCAGAGGCAAGAAACCACATATGAGATCGGCATCATCAGAGAGCAGATAATGTCGGAGTGCTTCCTACAGACAGGGACAGGAGGACAACTTACAGAAACTTATGCGCAGCACAGGTCTAAGTATGCTCAGTCTCAGATAACTACTAATTACAATAATCATTACTGTAGATTGCCTAGAATCTCTTTCTTGAGTTACAAAGCTGCAGGCAAACCTTGCCCTTGCTGATTAAAACAAGCTGTGGGAGCTGTAAGATATCAGACAGCCTTTGTCTAACAGTAAACGGGCACCACAGCAGCACAGCACCTGGATAAGCATGACCACCACACTCCACCATATACAGGATGAAGAACAGGCTCTTTAACAGCCAGCCTAAAATGTTGAAGAACTGAACTCTACCTATTAGCACAATTCTAATTGTTACCAAGAACACAATTTGCATGCCAAAAAGATGTTCGTAATTGATGATGTTCTCAATCATTCTCTCACTTTGGTTTTATTTTCCGGTGTCATACAGCATTTAGAGTTAAAAGGAACTCAAAACCTCCTCTGAAATAAATATGGATGGCAAAGAGAGGTCAGTGCACATGGCTTTCCGTTCCCAAACTGCATCAAAATGCAAGGAAAATGTCTGATGATGGGTTAGGACGGACTGTGTACTCAGTGACGGTCTAGGGAGTGAGCATTAACTGTTATAACAAGGAGAACAAACCAATTTTAACTTTTTCCAGAATGTTGGCTGGGCTTTTAGCCACTGCTATCACATGTACCAAATATCCAGAGGCTGCACATCATGTGGCACAATGCAGAATTACCATAATGGAGACCTACTCTTTCTCGAGGCCTTTTAAATTCTGTAAGTTTTCAGTATTTCTGAAAATCATCCAATCTTCTGTTCTTCTGGGCCTTTCAAAGTACTTAAAAGCTGTAAACTGATTTCAAACTTTTGCACCTTCAAAGAAGAAGGAAAACATAGCCATTAAAAAATATACCATGAAAATATGCTCAGTGCCCAGTGTTTGGCAGAAACTGTCCGTAAAAGGAGTTAGCTAAATGTAGATAAGCCTGTACTCTGTATGTCTGAGAAATAAAGTTTGTTTATTGTCCCAAGTAAAAGCAATAGGTGAATTTCCGAATATTTTGACACAGTATCAAGCTGTGGTCTCACAATTTTGGACCTCAGTTGCTATTGCTCTGAGGTTCATTAAATTGTAAATTCAAGGCAAAAAACACCTACCCCGTTAGAAAGCCGCAGTTACACAGATATATAACTTTTCATTGTCAGAACAAAAATCCAACGAGTCTTGTTAACAGCATATACATGTATATAGCATTGCCTAATCTTATAATATTTGGCTCAAGACCTGCCAGCTTTACAAGCAATAAATCATTATGGTCAAATGAAAACTATAAAACAAAGTAGAAATACATAGGAATGTGCATAAAAACAATCTCACTAATTATGATACCAAACGAACAGAAGACTGGAAAGCAAAGATAGTTTTTAAAATCTGTATTATGATTATAGTAAGTATGATTAACTTAGTAATAACTGTAACTTTGTATAAACACCAGGAATCACATTCATCCAGAAATACACAGAAGAGAACTTGGCAAAAAGAACAAAATGTAACAGCACATCAGTATAGTTGTTTACTATACCTATGAGGAGGAGGATGCAAGTGGTAGGAAAAGACACTTCAGTTTTATTAGGTGGGGGAAGTTGGACTGGTGACATTCTGGAAAACGAAAGAAGCATTCTCTTTTATCCTTTCAAGGAAAGGATCAGCTAGAGTCTGATGTTGCCCAGAGAAATGTTTCCATTGCATCAACTGTGACATGGAGAGCGGTTTCTTTGAATCGGGCTTCCCAAGGTTTTGGCCAAGCTGGCAGCTTCTAGATACAGAAGGCTTTTCTGAGGAAGGATCTGAAAAAAAAAAAAAATGATGCAGTAGATTAATCAGAAAAAAACTAGGACAGAAAATTTCAGTCTGAATCAATAAGCCGGTTGGTGATAACAAATGAGAGAAAATAGAACAGCATATATAATCCTTCTATGTCACTGAAACACAAACATATGTATTCACAGTAAGAGGGGAAAGGCTGTTTCTTGCTCATTGATTGAGTTTATCAAAATCACCATATGCTAGCATAAAGCCAAATCCTTTTACACATGGATGGGAAAGGAAATATCTTATCTGGCAATTTCCTTTCTTCTGTTTCCCTAATTCTGTGACATTTGGGCTGCTCCCATTCTTTAAGTAAACCTGAATCTAGAAGTATGTTGCAGCAAAATTCGTGCTAGCTTCTATTTCCTCCCAGAGGAGTCATTCCAACCAGCTAAGAATAGCTTGAATAGCTATTTCATTGACTCAGCACACCAGAGCTATGCACTCTGTACATCCAGATTATGTCAAGTTGTTCAATATACACAATATTGTATACGGTATATCACAGTAAGGGAAAAACTATTGCCTGTGAAGCACAAGAAGAGGAATTCACTTTTGACAAAGGATCCTAAACAGTACCAGGTCACTGCAGGGTATGTCACACATTGCTGGCTTCGTGACTCATCTGATGCATGTGATAAATGAGGAAATCATTTTGGATGGAAAAAATTGAATCACTGCTGCTATCGGTTTCAAACCTGTCGTCAAATATTTTCATAGCAGTGTTACATGCTCCTTAGGAAAGACCAATGATATGAACAGCGTGATGACTCAGAGTATTCTTGAGTTTTTTAAAGTTTTGGAGAGCCCATAAAGAGTCATATATGCAAGACTTTCCTTTTGACTGACATATGATGCACATTTGCACTAGACTTGCAACATATTCTTTTACTGGCCAGAAGAAAAATTAGAATAGATGCACTTCTGAAGTCACAGAATCATAGAATACTAGGTTGGAAAGGACCTCAAGGATCATCTGGTCCAACCTTTCTTGGCAAAAGCACAGTCTATACAAGATGGCCCAGCACCATGTACAGCTGAATCTTAAAAGTGTCCAATGATGGGGAATTCACCACTTCACTGGGGAGATTATTCCAACGCTTGATTGTTCTCATTGTGAAAAATTGTCCTCCTGTGTCCAACTGGAATTTCCCCAGGAGTAACTTGTATATATTACCCCTACCTTTGCCATGTGACTCCTCGTAAAAAGGGAGTCTCCACCTTCTTTGTAGCCACTCTTTAAATACTGGAACATGGTGATAGGGTCTCCCCTAAGCCTTCTTTTCTCAAGGCTGAACAAACCCAGTTCTCTCAGCCTTTCCTTATATGGCAGGCTTCCCAGTCCTTTGATCATGTTGGTTGCCCTTCCCTGGACCCTCTCCAGCCTGTCCACACCTTTTTTGTATAGCGGGGACCAAAACTGACACAGTATTCCAGGTGTGGCTTGACGAGCACCGAGGAGAGTGGGACAATGACTTCTTTGTCTCTGCGGGTGATGCCCTTGTTGATGCAACGCAGCGTCCCATTGGCTTTCTTTGCCACTGCAGCACACTGTTCACTCATATTGAGCTTGTTGCAAAGCCACTCTCCATAATCTGTGAGAAGTCATGGAGATCAGGGGACATCCCAGAAGACTGGAAGAAGGCTAATGTCACCCCCATCTACACAAAGGGTTTAAAGGAGGATCCAGGAAATTACAGGCCCATCAGTCTTACTTCAGTCCCTGGGAAAGTTATGGAACAAATACTCCTGGGGGCTATCACAAGTCAAATGAAGTGACTGGGAAAAGCCAGCATGGATTCATCAAGGGCAAATCATGCTTGACAAACCCGATCACTTTCTATGACTGGGCAATCTGCTCAGTTGATGTGGGGTCTGTGGTGGACACTGTCTACCTGGATTTCTCCAAGGCTTTCAACACGGTTGCCCACAGCCTCCTCCTAGAGAAACTGATGTATTAAGGTCTAGACAAGCGGTCTATGCGGTGGGTGGGGAATGGGCTGACAGGCTGCACCCAGAGGGTGGTGGTAAATAGCTCCTTCTCAAACTGGCAACCTGTCACAAGTGGGGTCCTCCAGGGATCAATATTGGGCCCAAGGCTGCTTAATATCTTCCTAAGTAATCTGGATGAAGGGATCAAGTGCAACCTGCTGAGGTTTGCCGGTGATACCAAACTGAGTGGGGAAGTGGACACTTTGGAAGGGAGAGACAGCTCTCTTAACACCCTCAGGTGGATATTATCAGGGCCCATCGATTTGCAGAGGTCAAGCTCCTGTAATAGTTCACATACTAACTTACTTCACTGACAGTGGGTCTGTGTTTGCATCAACCTGGATTTTTGTTCCCAAGGCCTGGGCCCCTTACAGATTACACATTCTTAACTCCATAAATTACACCATAATCAGGTAAAACAATAGGCTTACAGCTTTGTAGCTGATCTGAAAGCCAGTAGAATAGCAAGCAACCCATCGGCACGACCTATGCACAGTTAATTGCTTCCTTTCAAGACTCCTGTGATTTCCTAAAAATGGCGCTAATGTGAACGGACAACAGGAGCTTGGTCAAGAATATCCAGTATCATTGATATGTCTCATGGAGATCACTATGAAAAGTTCATCTATTGTGAAGCCTGTATTCTATTGTTTGGCTCCTCTTCAGTTTATCTTTTGAATCATACTTGCTAGAAATGGAGGAGACAAATCAGTGAAAGTTCTTGACCTTTTCTGTGCATCAGTATCTGTCCCCAGTAACCTGGAATCTGGTTCCCCAATGAAGTAATTTGAAAGCTTTCTGTTCTTCGAAAACGCAAAGAGACCAACTAATGGTAGGTGCATTCTGGGTGATCAAACTGAAGACCGTGACTCACAACAATTTGACGAGGGAACTGATGAGCCAGTTTGTCCTCCGCTTTTCAGGAAGTCAAACTTTCCCCTCACTCTATCAGTTCCACCACTTAAGTCTAAGAATGACCTTCAATTTTCTCCTTGATTTACTGCCAAAAAGGTTCTGTTCACTGGGACCAAGATATGATTACCCTTGAGGAAGTCCTGGTTACATTCACTGCCCTGAGATCCAGGAGACTGATGTTGTGGTTGAATTGATGGAACAAATATGTGTTCAAATCATAAGACAAGCACTCAAGAGTGTTAAGACAATTGCAAAACGCTAAATAAAATTACATGCACCAGTGTTCATCACAGTAATATTACAAAATTTCTCTGGATTTCCGCAGTCCAGGAGCTCTACCTGCTTCATTGCACACCAGTGAGAAAATCTGGCTAACATTTAACACTAAAGGTGCCTTTTCCACACAGACCCTGTAATAGTGCCTAGGTGGAGGCTGGTGTATTTTAGAACATAACTTACTCATGAGAAACTGATGAAATCAGTATGTGGAGGAAAATTAAAGGAGAGAGGCAAATTCTTATGGCTACAGAAACTCGGTGCTTTCACTAACCAAGTCCTCCTCATTTTGGATAGAATGGGATGAGAAAGGAATACAATTCTAGCCTAATACCTGGAGACATGCAAACCATCAAGCAAAATAGTCTCACTGGGTCTACTGAACACATGCACTCTTGTATTTCTTTGGCTCTTTTCATTGTGGTATCTGTGTGCATTTAGAAGACAGCAGTATTGGTGCCTCGTTATCACATCTGTGATACTGTGTGGGGATATTTCATGCCCAAAGGAAAGAAACATACCAGGGCAATAGACACTCCTTCCTTTAAGAAACTAGATGAGCTATAAAACTAAATGGATGAGATGTAAACGTAACTTAAGATATTTTTTCTTTTCTAATCCTGCTCCTGACTTAAACCTATATACCTCAATGCAGCAAGGTATTTAAACAATTTTGGTATGCCAAAAGAACACAAGAGGCAGATTCCTGCAGAAAGGATAGACGTGAATATTTGCAGCTTGGGTTTACAACTGCCCGAGAATCTTCCAATATTTCTCAAATAGCTATTTTAATCATCCTGCATGAGCTTTAGCTAATAACTGTGAAGGGTTATATTCAGAGATTTGGCCTATTATTATCTAGAGATCTTCATCGGGTACTGGCTGTCTGCAGATAAACAGCTTTTGAACTAACACTTACCAGCTACTCATTACTGCCTTTGAATATTTAGAAACATAACACCATACAGTGTCATTTGGTTGTAATGAATCACTAGTTGAGCTGGCCATAGCTAACTCAAGGAATTAAGAAGCATGATACATTAATTGGTTGTTGCTGCAAGGAATGAGTCTTTCTCCTCTTCATCTTGTGAAGGGCTCCTATGAATTAGAAAAAACAACCAGTATCTGGAAGATCCCATAATGAACCGCATTACTTTGATGCTATTTTACTGAGCATCAGAGTTTTCTCCAATGACAGACCATATATTCAGAATGGATGTACTACCTCAGCTATGGTCAGAGATAATGAAAACGAAACTCACTTTGATGGTCTTTTTTTCCCATACAGTTGCACTCAAGCAAGTCATGGGTAACGCAGCTGGAATCTTCGTGAAGAGTAAAGAGATTTCTAAGCTCCTCTATGGAAAAATTGATGTGTTCAGATGTCTTGGAAAGGTCTACAACTGCCCCAGAAAGGTCTTGTTTGCTGATCTGTCTTTGATAAATCTTTTCTTCTATTGAGCCTGTATTGGAAAAAAAAAAAAGATACACTGGGATAATTTTTGACTAGTATTCTCAAAAAGAAAAGTCAAATCCGTTTCTTTATAATAATATTCATAGGAAATGCTAAATCACTATTTTCCATTATTAAAGCAAAAGCAAAGCAAAGCTAAATGAATCAATGTGATGTTTCTATTTTAACTGAATTCAGAACAAATTATATATATTTTCAAAGAGCAAATTATTTTCAAAAACACTCTGTCCCTTTCTTTTACTGACAAAATTCCAATAGCTGTCTCACTCTAGGGTGTGCTTGAGCACCATCTCTGACCTGTGGTTAGCAGTCTGTAGATATATACGGTATGTTTCTGACCATCTCTCCACACTCTGGCCATTGCCTGAAGAAAGAAAAAAGACGAAGAGCATTAACAGCCCACTATACAACAGTATTTAAACTAAAATTTGTAGCCTCCACTGATCAAATTACCAGTTCTTCTAGCTCATTCAAAAAGATGTTGTCAGCTTTTCCTCAATAACTGTCTTTGTTTTTACAAAAGTCTTCTGTTATTAACTGTAAATAATTTTGAAAAAATAATTTATTTTCTGCCATTTTTGCTGCCCTTTCTTTCCATGCAGTATAATAGGAAGGTAGCGGTTTCGCCTCTTTCCTGCCAGAAATCCCCTCTTCATATTTTTCCATGCATTAGCAGCTGTTTAATATTTCAGGAATACTTATCATTCTCCACCATTTCCACAGGTTCTTTGCAACAAAACAGCTTTAGAAATGGCATTCCAATTTCTTTTAAAATTGTAAAACTAGTGTTTCATGCACCCTTTAATTCTTAAACAAACAAAAAATAACTGAGTACTGATATATGATTTTTGTCAAAAATGTAAGGGTTACACATACATATTGAGTACAAGGACACATAACACGGCTTGCGGTCTTTGGCAACCTGTAGCAATTTTGACTGATTTAGCAGACTGTGTTCCAAGCAACAAGACAAGTGACCACATGAGGGTACTAATTCACACTTGGAATAGGAGCAGGGCCAACAATCAGAGTTTGTTTCAGGTATTAAGCAACACGGCATTACTCTACAAGAAAAAGTTTCTTACTGCGTTGATAAAAAAGGGGTTTTAAAATTGTTATTGTTAAGGACTATTCTAACTGACACTCTTATGCCAACTAAATAATCCCTTGAGTCCAACAGTGCTGTTACAAGAATAGCACAGCACCAGCTTTGTTTTCTTTCTTTTAGCATCATTGCCACGTGATTTTCTCATTCTCTTAATTCTGATCAGAACCTCTCCCTTTTTCTCAGGTATTGCAAATTGACAGCAGCACTTACTATGCAGTCTAATCATAATTTTCTTTTCTTTTTGGAAACACACTGTTGAGAGATATTAGTTGTTTAGCTTAAATAAATAGATTTTAATTAGAATAAATTACTTAAGGTTATGAGATGGTGTGATTTATGCTGCTTGCCTAGCTTTACTTAGCATGAGTAGCAAGATTTGCTGAAGCCTGTAGGTTCCAATAGAGTTAATTTTCTTAGTAATTTTCCTAGCAGCTGGTACAGTGCTGTGTTTAGTCTTTTAGTATGAGGAAAATGTGGATAACACACTGATGATTTGGTAGTGTTTTTCCCTAAGTTTGGGAGTTGATAGTTCCCTGTGTTCTGCCAGCAAGTGCAGGTGCACAAGAAGTGCAAACCAGAAGATAAGGAGGCTCCAACCGCCAGCAGAGACTGCAAATCAACAAGGTAAGAGCAGTCAATGGCCACTCCGCCTGCCCCGACACAGAAAAAGAATCTAATAAAGTGTTAGAAGACCCCAGACCACAAATCACCATTGGACTAAAAGACATGCGAAGAGCGCGTGAGGAGAAGGTGTATAGATCGCAAGGGTATAATTGCTCAGGGAGTTCTGTGTTCCATGTCCCTCTGCGGAGGCCCTCAGCTAGCTGACCCTGCTGCTGTACCTTTCAATTAATTTATTTATTTTTACAGAATCCAATGCCTGAGACTGTTCTGCGGGAAACACCCAATTTGGGTTATACTCTGTGCATATATTAGAAAACAACTGAGCGCATTTTTCAGCATCCTCTCTCAGTCTCGGCATTTTACTGCACCGTGAAGCTAAATCGCCAGAATTCCGAGGCTGATGAGTACATACGTGCACCACAGGGGAAGCCCGGCCACCTACGGTCAAGCCCGAAGAAGGAGGGAGTGCGCCCAAGAGTGTGTGGAGTGGAAAGGGGCACCCGCTGGCTCACTGGAGTCACCCACTGCAAAGGGACCTCGGTCCCAGCAGTTAAAGACTCGTCTGGTGGGTGTGTGCAACACCTTGAATGGTGCGTGAGTGCTCAGGCAGCGGCTCCTCCTTTAACACACAGCAACTTTCCAGTTAAAAAGAGGTCAGGAGACAAAGGGGATACAGGACTCACTCCTCCAAGGAAACCAGAATTTACTCTTCATTTTTTACTGCAAGGGGGCTTCTAATCATACCTATATACATAATATGACAGAGAAACATTTCTTCTTTTCTCCTCACATACAGTTTTTCCCCAGTAACATACTTGTCCAGATGCCACGTGATAATTGGGTAGCAATAAGACGTGTAAAGCCAGGCATTTCAAAATCAATCAACATCCCATCGATGCCCACCCCAACCCCCACGTACACAGTTGCATCAGACCTGAAGATCCGTAGCTGGATTCCAGTCGATATCATACAGGATCAAATGAGATGCTCCGACCAGATTCAGTCCTACTCCGCCAGCCTTTGAACTCAGCAAAAAGATAAAAGCTGGACTGAATTTACTATTAAAAGTATCAACAATCTGTTGCCGCTGGGAGACAGGAGTGTGTCCATCAAGTCTGGTATAAGAGTATCCATAACGTTTGCATGTCTCTTGCAGTATGTTTAATGTCTGAGTGTAATTGGATACCAATACGACTCTGTCAAACAGTAAAACAAAGTTATCATCTTAGGCCTTGGTAAAATCCAATAACAAATTACTGAAGACATCAAAGAAAATAAAATTACCAGTCAGGCAAAAATTACACATCAACCTGAGGTTACTCATGTTTCCTAAGAAATAAAACATTTCCAATTAATTTGAAGCACATACTAGATTTGGATGCATTTTACCTACTGTCAAGCATTCAGATGTTAAATAATGAATGTTTTCCTTCGCAACAGAATTTGGCTTAATGCATAGATTGCAGGGATCCAGAACCAACCACATAGTTGGTCTTTTTTTTAAATCCCTATTTATACAAAATAGCAGTTGTTAAGGCAGCATTTGCAAAGGGTGTTGGAGCAGCTAATTAACAATATATATATGCCTGTACTTACTGAAAAAGCTACTGTGAACTTCTATAGAAAACCTTCGAAAATTCTAATAAACAAAACCATGAAAGTCAAATAGGAAAGCAATGACAGCTACATTTTATGACTGAAAAGAACTGGGATGAAGGATAGCAAAAGATACCACAAACAATACACTCTCGGTATTTGTTGTTATTTTATTTAAAGCAAAATCAGTCTCCTGATCCCTTACCCTAATGACCCATACTATACTGGTGGTTTTTCTCTGAAATTTTGACTAAATATGTTTCAAAGACCTGCAAATCTAGAATTTCTATCCTCCCAGATATTGAGGATGACTATACTGAGTGGACAAAGGAAGATCTTTTGAATTTAAGCCATAATAAGCACAGCTAGGGCTTTTTCTGCCAGATCTTGTTCAGAGGTGTTTTACAATCTAAACTAAATGTACAAAATTACATTAAAGATGCTCCATCTTTTAAAATAATTTTGATTAAAAACAAGTACTGAAGAACTAGACATATAATTTCAGGGAAAACCTGACAAATTAACATTTAAAAATTATTTTAAAGTATTTTTAGTATTACTTTTTACACTTGAACTACATCCAAGACTTGTTTGTAAAGACTTTGCAAGATTGGTATTTTTTGTCAATCAACCCCAAATTCACACCTTTGATTTCACTCAAAAATAGAATATAAACTTTAAAAGAGGACTGGAACTGAGTCTGTATATTACAAAAACTATTTAGTACTAATGAGAGCAAAGAAACAAATGAAAAAGAAACACGAACAGCATTGAATTAAAGCAACAAAACTTTTAAAAGCGTAAAATAACGCCTCAACACCAGCTGTAACTCAGCAGCTCCTGTAGCACTGATAGAGGGACAGGTCCTTTTTCCTGACACCCCTGATTCTTTTGACCTACAAGAAATAAGGCCGCTACATTTAGGTATTTAGTTGTTACTGGTTTCAACAGCTGCTAGGCATATAAACCCCAACAACAGGCACAGCCTTCTGATTTGTAAAGAGAGAACATCAGGAAGAAACAAATTCCATTACATCAGTGCCAAGAGATCTGCTGTTGTTTCCTGCTACTGAATTACAGCATGTCCTATTTAAGCATCAATTTAAATAAAAGCTAAAAGCTAAATACTTTTGGAATAGCTGGGCTTTAAGGCAGGAGTACATAAAAAAAGTTATCGGGGGACACAAGGTCATGTGATATTTCCATGAATCAGCAATTGCACAGTAACTAACCATGTGCATTTTATTACCCCACGATAAACAGAGGTTTTGCTACATGTCCGTGGCATTTACCACAGGGGAAATAAGCAGTCGCTGTGCAAGTTCATCTGTTGAGACTGGTTCCCCTGAACAGAAAAGGCAGCAAGCACTAAGCAGTTAAATGTCATTAAAGAGGAAAGGACTTATAATCTAGTAACTAAAAATATTTTAGTGCAATTTAAAGTATTTAATATAAGAATAATCTCCTCAAGGAGATACAAAGCATTGGAAAGTATTTGCAAGTAGACAATATGTCATAGTACAGGGGCTGTAGCAAACACTATCTTACTTGCTGGAACTCAGTATGAAAAATACGTGTATCTTTATCTTGAAAAAATATGAAGAGCAACTTTGAAAATGTGAGCTGTAAATCCTAGTTTAGTAATTTAACACAGAAGAGCCAGGAGCACAATGCATAAACATGCCTGGCATCTCTGTAAACAGTTGCAATGCCTTTTTTTTTTTAATATTACACCCCCATGCATTTGAAAAGCGAACCAATAACAAGCAGGTCACTCCCATTATCTCTCTTTTTCCTTCTTTCACACTTGCCTTTCTGAAGAGTTGAGTTCATGGATTGCTGCTAACAACTTCACCAGCACCTGCAATTTTCCTGAATCGGTTTCAGAGAAAGTGTCCAAAGTATAATCTTGAGGAAAGACATCTATTAGACCTTCGTAGAGACTGAACTCATCATGTTCATCGGACATAGGATCGCAGCTTTTTTCCTGTTGAAAATAAAAGGATTCCTATGTCCTCTCTAACATGTTTTGGGTTTTTTAAAAACTTTACTATATTTTTATTACAAAGACAAAAGGAGGCACTGAAAGCTGCCACAAAGTACTGTATCATGTGAGCACTACAATCTCCCAGTACTGCATTGAAAGCACAGTTTTAAAATATTGATAGTGTTTATTTTGCTTTACACCCTTTAAGGTAAGATGTTGTTTGCAGCTGAGTAGAAAGTTGATATACTTAAAACTGGAAAATGTGTTTTACTTCTACTTCTCTACTTAAACAACCACACAGATGTATACCCACACCAAAGCCATGTCTGTAAGTTGGGGAAAAAAGTCAACACTCTGCTTATTCTTTCTAAATCACATGACACCTTATTGTGGAACTCCCCAATCATTGACTTTTTTTTAGGAAGATGCTACCATTACGATTCAGTTATGCAACTGGAAGTGAAGAAGAGCTAACAAGTAAAACCAATAAAATAGAAGAAATACAGGTAATATTTTGCTGTAATTTGAAAATCAATGTTTCACAGGGAGGAAAAAGCCAAGCTAATCAAACCCCAAAACCACAACGGTAATAAATGACTTGCACATATAGTCCTTTCCATCCCTATAATTTCTGAAGGGTTACACTTCCACATATGGAAATTTTCTAATGCTTATACTATGAAGTAAAGGCAATGAACTTTACTCAGCAGCGTTCAAAGTTACAGAGAGGTCTGTGCTGTGGACTTTCATGAACGTCCACAGCAGTCATGAAGTGCGTCTTTTAAGAAAGACTTACATTTCCACCCACCTTACTTGGACTTTGACTAGTGGCCATAGAAGTTAGTATTACCAAGTTCTAACTATCATGTTATTTACCTATAGGAATGCGAACATTTTCTATAGAAACAACAAGGTGTACAGCGTGATAGGATCCCAGGAGAAGTGGAAATGGAGACATCTAGCACCACTGATATCTTGAGCCTGCAGCTCCCAGTGTCACCGGGCTCGAGAGGGTGAAATTATCACACGGACAGGGAGGTTTCAGAGGAACCAGCAAAGTACAGGGAATAATCTCTAGTACAGGGAATAATCTCTAGCTGATGATGTTCTTTGTAAAATTTACATTTGTATGTATTTTTACAAATATTCAGAGTCAAGATTAAGACAGAAAATATAGAAAGAACAAGAAAATACCATAAGGCAACAGGATACCGGTGAGGTACCTTCCCTGGGTACATTCAGATTTCCTAACATCTATGTTTGTGAAAGCAGGTGTCCCAAAGCAGGCTGTATGTGAGAAAAGAGTATGGAAATAACCTTAAGTAACACGCACATTGACCATAACATAGTTTTAGTGACCTTTGCCTGCTGAAATGACTAATTGTAGGCACCCACCCCCACGCAAATAGATACCTTTATGGCTTTAAACAGAAGACACGGATGATTGCAAAGTTTTTTCAAAGCTCCTATGCATATGAGGTGAGGACTGTTTTCTAGCCTGCCTTGTAGACAGGACCTAATAACTTGAGAACTGAGCAGTTTTCGGTACAATTCAAGTTGCAGTGCTGTTGGTCGGCAAAAGATTATGCTTTCCTTTTTGGGGGGCAGAAATTTGTTTATAACCTCCTGTGTTCTCCTAAGAATAAAGAGCCCAGTGAGGCGTGTGAGTTCTGCTGCTCTTTTTTCTCCTAATTCCTTCTCCTCCTAAAAGAACAAAGCACAAAATTAATGATAATCTTGCATTTCATCCCAATAATTTCTGTATCATAGAATCATAGAATGGTTTAGGTTGGAAAGGACCTTGAAGATCATCGAGTTCCAATCCCCATGATTTCAATTAGGTAGTTAAAGAACATTTTAAATGTATGATACCATTTTCTAACACGGGACTGTAATGATCAATTCTTCTCCAATTAGTACCACTGCTTAGTTCTAGGTCTGGTTTCTAAAGTCTTAAATAAAGGAAGAAATGTCCCAGAAGACATCCAAGGCTCAAATTACATTCCAGAATTTCCTGACTGATGCAATGAAATCATACAGATTTTACAGTACTGTGCAGAAACTAAGAATGAATAAAGTATCGTCATATGGTAATGCACATGGTGTTTTTGTGAATGCAAGGTGCTGGAAGAACAATTTTTGCCTGCTAATTAATAGGCAGCTGAAATGATGTGATCTCAACATGCATGTATTCTTCCAGCTCCCTTTGGAGAGCAACTGAATTTATGTCAAATAGGAAAGTGAAAAGCTTTTGCTACTATTAGTAGTCCTGAGCTTCACTTTATTCCATAGAAAGTAAATTTCACAGTGCTGCCTATGAATTTTCTTCTAGAACTGCATTTTTTTAAATAATATACCTTTGTTGCTGAAGGTTCTCTAGACCTGACAATTGGTTCCTCATATATCTTTCTATACGTGGATAAAGAACCAAGTATTCCGGGATTCACAAACTCTATTAATGCATAAAATTCTTGCAAGTCATTTTGGATTGGAGTACCTGGGAAGAGAAAAAAATAAAATTCTGCATTTCGTAACTTTTTCTTGAAAGGGATAGAAGTACAATCATTGAATGCAGGGTTTAATGTTAAGAATGTATCTTGAAAACAGATGTTTTGTGTCAATGGGAATTATTCAAAGTTCTAAATTAATCTAAAACTTTATCGTGACTAATAAGCTATTAATTAATAAGCTACTAAGGAGCTACTCTCCTACTAAACAGACTAAACAGACTAAACCTACTAAACAGCACGTATAATTGTTTTGACAAAGGAATTTAAAAAATCAAATTCTAAATCAATTTTAATAGGTAACTACAAAGAAAAACAATTAGTGTTCATAAACAGACTCCTGATTCCCTTACATAAGTTCCCACGTTCCTTGCCTGTCCCTGAAGTCAGACAAATTTTGCATTTATTTAAAAAAAAATGGAAATAATCTGTTTTTACAAGACCCAAGATTTGTATATTTTATACCCATTGCCAAAAATTATATGGTGCTCCTGCCATATGTACAATAGCTTTTTCCTTTATCCCAACCTAGTACTATTAGTAAAGCTAAATATTAAAAGCAGCTACAGATACTAACCAGTAAGGATAATTCTCTTCTCACAAGACAGACTAGCAAGGGCTGTAGTTGTCTTAATAGAGCTATTTTTCAAACGATGTCCTTCATCACAGATTAGGAGGTTAAATTCTATAGCCTGAATTTGATCCAAAGATCGCAGTAGCATCTCGTAACTGATTATGAGAACTGAATAAAGTGGAGAACCGCTGAATTCTTCTACTTTGTGGTCCTGCAGGTGTAAAGGAAAATATATCATACAACTATTCTTTTGAAGATCAGTCACCATATTACTTAAACATCCAGTGTCTACAGAATTTTTTTTCTAGCACGATACAAGACATTTACTATCTCCTCTATGAGTTTGGATTATTGATTTTTTCCTAATTTGCAAAAGAAATATGGGATCTGATGCAGCAATTTAGAGTTTTACCATCTCATTAAAAGAAAATTTATTATTCTTTTAGGCCTTCAAATCCTCTGAGAAATATTACCGTGAAGGTGAAAAGCACAGGCTCCCTGTAACAGTTTCCCAGTCCTCACATTTAGGTAAGCTTGACATTAAAGCCAAGATAACAGAGAGGCACAAGTAGGTGCCTGTACACTCATTTTGGGTTCTCAAGCCACAGGGTGCAGCAATGTGGTCCAGTAGGAAGTTACCAAGTTCTATCAAAATTCCTTTCGTAGTTTGGAATTGAATACAATAACAACTTTGTTACAGCCCCTTAACATTGGTGGATTGGCCAATGGGTAAGGGCAGCCTGGGACTCTGAAAGCAGAGCCCATAACCAGCCCCAGAAAACATGCCGGTGTACTGGTAAATAAATGCAATTGATTTCTAAACCCTGTATTACTGGACAGAAAATGGCTGTGAGCCCCTCCACTCTTATATACCCTTCCAACCCTTCTCCTTCAATAGACATCAAGGCTTTTGATGTCTATTAAAGGAAAGACACACACTAAATAAAAAGTCACTGCAATGTGACAGGGAGCTTCTTAGTTTCCTAGTTTCTTAGCTTCCTTAGTTTCCTAGAAATAGTTACATTTCTGTACAGACTTGTGAATGTACTAGGATTGCTTACCTGCCCTGCAATTCTGTGTAAAAATAGAAAAATCTACTGTGGCACGTTCCTCACCTTCCTGCTTAGCTCCAGGCGCTAATTCCCTGCACATTCCTTCCCATTTCCTAACAGTGCTCACTAACTAAGCAGGCTATGGGCCCAGCTGACAAGCTGAAGAACCTCTTTAATTGTGAAAGCAAATCAAGCTAGAGCCTCAGAAGGTATTTTTATTTCCAAACAAGATCAGTTACCAAACACAGACAACTAAGTCTGGAGCCAGATGGTGTAATACACTGTAAAAGCAGCACTGCTTAATTATCACAACCTTTAGAGCCTCCTAGCAGGTGATTCAGACGAATCTATGGGCTGAATCTGGCACGTTAATCTCACGAAGTACCTCATAGTAGATCAGTCCCCACATGCTGCTCACAAAGAGGTCCAGGAGTAGTGAGGAGCAGGTAACAAAGGCATGCACCGATTTCCCCAGGCGTTTGGACTGGACCCGAGCATTCCTGTTATTTCCTGGACTGTAGCTAACTGCCTGTTTTCTGGCCAGTATTTTTACTGCCAGTTTCAAAATAGGAGCAAAAATAATCCCAACACAGGAACAGAGACACAGAGGAGCCCTGTAAGCAACACCCAATGTTTTTCCTGCCCAGTATTCAGGCTCCACTTTGTAGCCCTCTCTGACCTTCTCTTGGGATGGCCAAGCATCAGAAGATGCCCAGGGTTCAGAAATCATTTTGTTTTCCTACACTTTCTGTGTGTGAGCTGAGACTACAGAGAAAGTAGTGGGGGCAGTATGGAACTGCCTGCAATGTGGTAAATCATCAACTCTTCTGCACTGTTTGAACACCTTAAAAAAAAAGCAGGAGAGTCCTGGCATATTATAAGCCCCCTGCAGCCAGATCTAATATATTCACTGCTGTATATAATAACAGCAGTGGATGATGGACTGAAAATTAAAATAAATTTACAAGCTAATTTCAAGTAATTAATTTATCCTCTTAACTGGCTGCAAGATATGTATGTATTATAGCCTCCATTTTCACAATTACCCAAAGTGACTTGACAGGTTTAAGTGAGTTGCCCAGAGCCACGTATGGAGCAATTGTCAATCAGTATTAGAGCTCCATAATGTTCCGGACTTGCTCTTTGAACAGACCCTTCTTTGCACTCGTCCAAATCCAATGTAGCTGGTGAAGTGTAAATTAAAAAAATGCTGAATCATGAAGCAATGTAAATGTTGAATTAATCAATTCTCCAGATATTTTGACTTAGAAAACAAACAAACAAACAAAAAACCCAGTAGAAGTGATACTCTGCAAACAGATAAAGGAGTTATTCTCTCAAACACATCTCAAATGCTGATAATGTGGATTAACCAGACCTAAACGCAACCTTTGCAGGGATGCCTTCATTTTAAAAGCAATGTCCTCTACATGACATCTGCATTTTAACAGAAGTAAACTGTAATCACATTTTAAAAGCAGATAATGTCCTGTTTTTTTGAAGAGTCTGTTACTGAAGGGTTAGGATCAGTTTTCGTGGTGTTTCAGCGTGAAAGTGAGGAAAACACACCTAACACATTTTTAAAAGTCTGCCAGTTCTTTGAATGTATTCCTTACAGGCAAGAATAGAAAAAACCTTTGAGACAAGCTCTTCCTTTTAAGTTATACAGGAGAAATAACAGTATGGTAATTGCTGTTTTTCCGGAGAAGATAGACAGTAAATTATTTTGAAATACCTCATTATACCCCAGGCAAGTCATATGGTGTCTTCCTTTTGCATGACAACGTATTCCTTCCTATTTGGGAACACAATTCTAAAAGCTGCTGAGTGTCCTCAATCCAAATGGCTCCAACAAGATGAGTAAGAATATTAAAGTTATTTAAATTAAAACGAAATGAAAGCTACTGTCATTTGGGGTCATAGTAACTGTCAGCAAATTCAGGTTTTCTTCTCCCAACGTTATTCATAAAAACTGCAAGAAAATCTTCAATTAGTTCTAACTACCTTTTCAGGCAAAAATGTTGCTATACTATATTTTGCCTTGTATCCACTTCTCTTAGAAACTTCCATATTTCTCACCCTAACATACACTACATTACAGCTCCTGACAAGTCAGTTTGCTTCATTTCCACATCTTGAAACAAGTTACTAAGAAAAGCAAATGATACAAAGAGCACCTATTACATGTGGATTGTCCTCAGTAGAAGATGGTTCAGTAATTTCAAGGGTTTGACAGTAATGAGTGGAATTCAAAGAAATAATTGTTGTTACAAAATCTTGTATGCTCTACAAAAGAGTTTAAAAAACAGTTTGAAAACTTCATCTGAAATATGGATAATGAAAGAAATGAAAAACAAATCTGCTTGAGTTAAGAATTAAGAATTTAGAATGAAGTACTGTTTGTTTCTTCAATCTACTTGTATGGAACGATTAGATTAAAAAATAACTTTGGAAAATAAGTATCTTAATTTTTGTTGCAATCACCAGTGTACATACTGTAAGTTCTCCACTTCCTCCCACTGACACAATTCAAATATATAGGAGCAAGGAAAAAGTAACGGTATGGCAAATTGCTGAATGTACATATAGAAACCACAGTTTGCTAAACAATTTCTCTTTTCTTTCTCCTATGAATGTCCACTCCATAAGGACATGGGGACCAGAAGTCTTACCAAAAAAATACTGGATGGTTAATTATAAAAAGCAGAGCTTGAATCTGAAAGCGTTAATGAAGGCAAGAGCAAGTCTCCTGTTCACAGCTTCATGAATGCCAGTCCTGAGGGGACCCAACCCTCTGACTGAGATATTGAGCCATGTTTAATGGGAAAATTTACATGGCAAGAAAGCCTTACTGGATAACCGGAGCAAGATGCGGCTCTCCTGCAGAGAGGGCCCTCTGTCAGTGATGCTACAGCCTCACTCCTTGAACTCTCTTGTCTTTTACTTGGCCAGGTGCTTTCCTGTCTGATGTGGTCAATTAAGGTCACTGAAGGATAGAATCTGCGCTAAAACTTTTAGTCTTTGCAGTAAAGGATGGAGAGAGTTTTGTGTTTCAAAAACAAAGGCAAGACCCTAAAGGTGTCCCAAGGAGATTAAAAGATTAAATACTTCGTCAGCACAAGGGATTCATCCAGGCACTACAGGAACTTGGGAGTGTCATTACCAGCAGGAACAGCTCCACTATAGGAGGGACAGGGATCAGCATCATCCTGCTTCATTAAGACTTGTACTTGTCTGCATTCTTCTAGAGATGAGAGATATTCACATTACCCAACAGTGAGCCTCTAGGCTTGGTGACTCATGAGACTTTAAATCAGCCCTACAGAAACCTAATTCTTGGCAGTGACAGTAAAGGGAATAACCTTCTGAAGTAACCTGAAACAGCCGAAACAAAGAGGAAAAAGTTTTCAGAAGAGAACAAAAGCAACTACCGCAGAAACGGAGTACAAGTACATAAAGCAGGGAAGGTGTGCACTTTGATAGACAACGGAAAGCTCCTGAAACCGAAGATGCACAAGGAGGAGTTTGTCACCATTTACATCTTCAAAGGTGAAGCCTGAGGAAAGACAAGACAGACATGCTACACAGGCAGGTGAGCTTGAGTTATGACCTGGTTACTAACAGCTAACTGCCCATATGGACAATTGCCTGAAAAAGAAATAAAGTATTACAAATAAATACTAACACAGAATTACTAGTTTTGGTCTCTGGTTAAAAATAAAAAAGAGGAAAAAGAAAATCATAAGTCTTATAGTCTGAGCCAAATAAGACCCGATCCCCTTTTGGAAATAAATCTTACCTGATCAACTGTAAAGACTTTGATCCTTTCACTTCCCAACCATTTCTGAAATTCTTTTTTCCAGTTTTTTACCAGACTCCCAGGGGTGACAATTAGTGCTCGCTTTAGTACAGGTTTGCATCCATAGACCCCTTGACGCAGAAGAGTCCAGACAAGTGCAATGCATTGCAATGTTTTTCCTAAGCCCATTTCATCAGCAAGAATAGCTCCAAATCTGCCACTGACTCTGCAAGATATAATCAGGTGGTGGTAACATTTAAAAAGATATATCTATAATGATTTACAACTGGTTTAGGGAATTGCTTCTTGTGGTTGTTTTCTGAAGTATATAGAACCTATTTACACTTCTTATGCTCTACTGTAGGTTTTCATTCAGTTACACTCAAAGACCTTAGAGTGAAATTCCTCGTTTTCTACATTATTGCATTAGTTCCAAAACCAAATAGTTTAAATCTTCTTTTAGAATTAAATTTGTTATCTAATATTTTTAAAACCTGTATATACCTTAAGGAATCTATGACTTGAGAAAACACTTTTGAAAATAGTCCTGTATTTTTTTTCAACAGCTTGGTATAACACCTTCTTTATTCTAAATGCCTGAACTATAAATTGTATGAATAATTATGAATTATATGAATTATAAATCCCCAAAAGAAGTGTGCTTTAGCATGGGTTAGATTGTATCTGTGTTTACAAGACTTGGTATTTGCAGTAGAATTGACAGGCCTTTTGGTGCATTAGCTTCTCATCACATCTGGCAAAGTCACAGCAAGCATGATGCTACACCAAGGTCAGAAAAAAATTGTGCAACCTTTACTGGGGGAAAATTACTAATATTAACTAATTGAATCTCAAATCTTCCCATTCCAATTGTCTGATTCCAAACATGGGCATGAAAATATTACAGGTATTGAAAGCCAAAAGGATAATTATCATCTTACCTCATTCCCATTACACATTCATATAGAAATATAATTCCTTCTTTCTGATGAGGTCGGAGATTATTTGCAATGTAAGGATCCACAACTACATCCACCATAGGTAAACCAGCCTTATTGAATGTCCACTGATGACTTGCATTTGGTCTTGGCATAACTAGAGAATCTTGAAGTTCAAAACATATGCAAGTATTGCATAAAAACATTATCTTTAGTCTGTTAGCAAAGTGTACTATTCCTCTAACTCAGCTACAGAATAAAGTCAATGGTCTAATGACTGCTAAAAACACTGTTTAATATACTGACCATTCTCAACCAGAAAATGCATTTACCAACAGAGCATCTAGACAGCCTTCTAAATAAAACATCCTTTTACAGAGGTCTCCGAAATAGTTTGCGCTTTTCTCAAAGGTAAAAGTGACAAACTGAGAAATCTGAGTATTTTTTTAGGATGAGGTGAAACTGCCTACCTAATAAATGTTGCATGATGACTTTGAACGGATAGAGTTAAATCAGAAGACATTCTAAAAGGCTTCTGAAAGAAAAGTATAAGGAAAAGAACATAAACAATGACCTACATAAAGTCTAGACACTACATTTCAAGGGGATATTCTTGTGGCTGCCCAGAAAGACTTCTCTGCCTGAGAAACAGAGATAAAAAGACAACGATTTGTTAAAAAAAAAAAAGAAAGAAAGACTGAGAGTGAGCTGACAAAGGCTGCCACAGTGCATGAATAAAAGAAGTTGACAGGTTTGAAGACATACAGAGGCAAAGAGAGAGCATGAAGTATTGGGTTACATCTGAATAACAGTTTTGCTTGCCATAATTTGTTTACAAACTCTATCATCATAATTTTGCTGGACAATGTCCACACTGGGTTGCTTATATTGATGCTACACATCTTCACTGAAAAGTTGTATTGTCAGAGGACAGAATGAAAAGGCAATTTATAGCTGCTGGTATTTTTATGTCACTAGAGTAGATCTATATTGGTATTTTATTCATGAGAACAGGTTGGCTGAAAGCTTGTATCATTCAGGAAGATTTTGTTTCCTACTGACAAAGGGCTGAGTTTTGACGGATTACACCAAATTGCATGTGTATATATATATATAAAAGCCAGTGGCGACAAAAAAGATAACTTTTCTGACAAAATTTTGGAGCCTCAGACAGGGGGAAGAAACAAGACTTGCATGAGCAATGGACTGAAAGCTTAGAAATCATACATGGAAGGCGAGGCTTTACATCTTTGTCACTGTGCTCTGTTCTGCTGAACATAGGGATAAATGGCTTTCCATTTTGAAGAAGCTGCATTTTAATCAACTGTAGTCATAGATCTCAACATGAAAACCTCTAAATGCTCCAATACCAAGGTGCTGGTCTTGTAAAGTATCTCTGTTACTTCTGAAAGAGGTTATGCAACAATGAGTTAAATAAACTATGTGATTCTCCTGTGTAAGCAACTCTTAATGACCGAGAGTCCAACCTATTAAAGTGTTGAGGGCTCTCCACATCAGGCAGCTTAGGGAAATCTCACAGGAGATACTCAAATTCACCAGAAGAGAAGTCACAGGAGGCAACTACAATAAAATGTACCTTTTTAATAAACTAGTGCAAACACAGCACAGAAGTTAATTTGAGTGTTGAATATATCAGCTCTTTGCCACATTTTAGGTTAGAAAGCTAATGTAGTATCATCTTGCAACCACAGGAAGGAACATTCTTAGATACAACATAATCAAGTTGAATCCAGACCAGAAGCTTGTGTTAACAAGGTTGCTCTACAAAAGGGCCAGTGATAGCACTAATTACCACTTGATTAAGATTTCATTGTTTATTTAGATAGGAGCCAGGTTGCAGCTTTACAAAGCCCCATAGTAGGACAATATGAGGTCAGAAGTAGGATGGAGGTAAAACTATAGTAAGAGTGTAGAAGAAAAATGTATTTTTTTTTAATATTAATTGCTCTGCTTAGTTACAATTCTTTAAATTCATTTTTATCTAAAAGATAAAGCCATCAGCAGAATATAGCTCCTAAATGCTTTGTTATTGACAGACAAAAGAGTACTTCTTGCTTAGATAAGCACCGCCACTTCCTGCAGCTATCAAAGGTTTACAGGATCCCTCTTAGAATCATAGGATCATTTAGGTTGGAAAAGACCTTTAAGATCAAGTCCAACCATTAAGCTAACACTATAAAGACCACCACTAAACCATGTCACTAAGCACCACATCTACACGTCTTTTAAATACCACCAGGGATGGTGCCTCAACCGCTTCCCTGTTCTGATGCTTGACAACCCTTTCAATGAAGAGTTTTTTCCTAATATCCAATCTAAACCTCCCCTGGCGCAACTTGAGGCCATTTCTTCTTGTCCTATCACTTGTTACTTGGGAGAAGAGACCAACACCCACCACGCTTCAATCTCCTTTCAGGTAGTCGTAGAGAGTGATAAGCCTCCTCTTCTCCAGGCTAAACAACCCCAGTTCTCTCAGCTGCTCCTCGTAACACTTGTGCTCCAGACGCCTCACCAGCTTCATTGCCCTTCTCTGAACACACTCTAGCACCTCAATGTCTTCCTTGTAGTGAGGGGCCCAAAACTGAACACAGTACCTGAGATGGGGCCTCACCAGTGCTGAGTACAGGGGGACGATCACTTCCCTAGTCCTGCTGGCCACACTATTCCTGATACAAGTCGGGATGCTGTTGGCCTTCTTGGCCACCTGGGCACACTGCTGGCTCATATTCAGCTGGCTGTTGACCAACACCCCAAGTCCTTTTCTGCCAGGCAGCTTTCCAGCCACTCTTCCCCACGCCTGTAGCGCTGCATGGGGTTGTTGGGGCCCATGTGCAGGACCCGGCACTTGGCCTTGTTGAACCTCATACCGTTGGCTTCAGCCCATCAATCCAGCCTGTCCAGATCCCTCTGAGGAGCCTTCCATCCCTCAAGCAGATCAACACTCCCACCCAGTTTGGTGTCATCTGCAAACTTACTGAGGGTGTACTCGATCCCCTCATCCAGATCGTTGATAAAGATATTGAAGAAAACTGGCCCCACTACTGAGCCCTGGGGAACACCACTTATGGCTGGTCGTCAACTGGATTTAACTGCATTCACCACAACTCTTTGGGCCTGGCCATTCAGCCAGTTTTTCACCCAATGAAAAGTACACCTGTCCAAGCCATGAGCAGCCAGCTTCTCCAGGAGAATGCCACAGGGAACAGTGTCAAGGGCTTTACTAAGGTCCAGGTAAACAACATCCACAGCCTGTCCCCTCATCCACTAAGCACGTCACCTTGTCATAGAAAATCAGGTTAGTCAAGCAGGACCTGCCTTTCATAAACCCATGCTGACTGGGCTTAATCTCCTGGTTGTTCTGTATGTGCTGCGTGATGGCACTCAAGATGATCTGCTCCATAACCTTCCCCAGCACCGAGGTCAGACTGACAGGCCTGTAGTTCCCTAGATCCTCCTGCTGGCCCTTCTTGTAGACGGGCGCCACATTTGCTAACCTCCAGTCAACTGTGACCTCCCCAGTTAGCCAGGGCTGCTGATAAATGATAGCAAGTGGCTTGGTGAGCACTTCTGCCAGCTCCCTCAGTACCCGTGGGAGGATCCCATCCGGCCCCATAGACTTGTGTGTGTATAAGTGATGTAGCAGGTTGTTAACCTTTTCCCCTCGGATTATGGGGGCTTCATTCTGCTCCCCATCCCTGTCTTCCATCTTAGGGGGCTGGGTACTCAGGAAACAAGTGGTCTTGCTATTAAAGACTGAGGCAAAGAAGGCATTAAGTAGCTCAGCCTTTTCCTCATCCTTTGTCACTGTGTTTCCTCCCGCATCCAATAGAGGATAGAAATTCTCCTTAGCCCTCATTTGTTGCTAATGCATTTATAGAAACATTTTTATTCTCTTTTATGGTTTCTATGCAATTTGTGAACTCTCGTGGCTCTTCAGCACACGGTACTTGTGGCATTATGAAACAAAACTTTTATTCCAAAACGTATCTGGTCGAGTTGGGAAGTGTAGTTACACTTGCTGGCTGTGAAGGATAAGGCACAGTCTGAAGCAATTCTTTGAATCTGGCTTAACCTCTCTATTACAGATCCTCCACTGTAATTACTGTGCTGCCATATTATGTCAGTGCTTCACTGATCCCAGTGGGAAGCTGGAACTCATCTAGAACTTTTAGCATGTGTCAGACTGTTTCTCTGATCAATATGCTCTTTTTTTTTTTTTGGTAAAACTTTCAGAAACCACTCTAACTTGTTTCTACAGCCATCTGTAACAACTATGAGAAACTTTACATAGCGCAGAGCATTTCACTCATTAGAAACACACATGATAAAATCCTAACACGATATTGATAGAAACACTAGTACTGTATGTCAGAAATACTTTAGTAATACACTGTGGAACAAGAAAATTTTGGTTACACATTCAACTTTTTCTGACAACCAGAGGATGCTTAAAGAAACTTAAAAATCTGAATCTTACTTGGAGCATTTGGATCGTGGCGAGGTTTGTAGCTTTGAGAATCTTTAAGTGCATTCTCTTTAGTATTGGATTGAGAGACAGTTTTGAATGGTTTACAGAATGGTTTCATATTAGTTTGAGATAAAGCATTTGTGACTGTGTCATGAGTCCCTATTCCAGCCTGAAAACACCTGCCACTGCTGAAGTCATCTGCTGAAATTACACCCATCACTTCAATTTCTTTTCCTCCAACCATCAGTGTTTGGCCTTCATCAAGACTGTCTAGCTCTTTAGATTTATATCCAGTACCTAAAAGAATATAAAAAATTAGCAATTAGGACAATACAGCAAATACTACTTCAGTACTCATCTGCAGGAAGGAAAAACAAAACTGTCAACAGGTATCTGCTTCTTAAATATTTGAATTGTTACACATATGAACTCATAAAGCCTTTCCCTCCTTAACAGAGCTTGACAGTTCAGTGCTAATAATCAGAATTAGATACCAGAATATGTAAGCAAATATACTATTATCATCATCCACAATCAGTTCTACTGAATGTCAAATATCCATTTAATGGAATTTACAAAACCAGCCCCATATCATAAAATCTAGCAGCTTGCTTTAGTTTTAAACTTGCTCAAAACTAATGATCATTCTAGGTCCTTTTTCCTTCCTTTCATGCCCTGACATGAACACCATTAGCCTCTCCTGCTGCTGATCTAAATAGAATATTCTACTTTTAAAATCATTCTAAATTACCTTTTTATAATTAAGGACTCATATGCATCTGAAATCTTTCCTTCTACATATGCTCTGAAACATATATGCGTGATTTTTGCCAGGATTTATCGATCAACTCAATAGTTTGCTCATTCAAAAACCTATCAGGGAGCCGACGCGTTTTTCTATGTGCCCTTGGGGACTCTATTGGGTGGGCATTCTCAGAGTAGCTACCACATACTATTAGTCTCATTACAAAATACAGCTGCAGCTGCAGCTTTCTTTTAAGACAAAAATGTAGGAAAGAATGGTGGTTCCTTCTTTTAAATAGCACTCTATTGGTTGAAGCTCTCACATAAGAAATGGGAGACCTATATAGTTTCTTTCCATAACTCAGGGAGCCACATCTGTACCTCAAAATCAGAAGCACGAAAGTTCTTTACTCCAGTTGTTGAATTTGTGCCGCTTTGAATAAACAGGCTTGGATCTTTAGTTGAGCCACAAAAAAAAAAAAAAAAGCATGACTCTGTAGACCAGCAGTTAAAGCACTCACCTGTGAAAGAGGCAAAAGTCCCCCAGGTTTTACACATTTTATCCAACAAACACTACATATAAAGACTGCTGGGAGCTGTTTGCAAAGCTCAGGTCTCCCACTTCGAGGAATGTGCCTTTCCCAAAGGGGTGGAAGGTGAAGATCTGGATTTGAATCCCCTTAAGAGAATAAATTTACTGAGGTGTTTCACAGCCTAAGCAAGTGCTGAAAAAAAGTCTGGCCAAAAAAAAAGGGAGATATTTTTCTTCCCCTCCTCTAAATGCATGCAAAAAACACGCAGTGAATCTTCTTTGGTTCTTGAAAGGAGAACACTTGCTTTCAGGAAAGAGCTGAATATGAACACAAGAGAATGCACATGCATCTACGTCAGGCACCTGGAGAGGGTATTTATGACCTCTCCTTTGCTCTGCATTTTTGTTTTCTCTTATTACCTCTACAGAGCTTCAAGCTGAACATACTGAATGCAGGTGTATTCAAGAGGATCTTTTGGATTCCAGTCTGAAGAGTCTAATTCTAAGAGAGGACGGGCTTTAAGGATAGATGGGAACTTAGGAAAGGCAAAAAGCCAACCTACAAAGCTCAAACACTTATGCAGCTGCCAGAAATTACTGTTTCTATACCATACAGCAAAGTACAAGACAGCACTTCCTAAATTCTTTGTAATACATTATTAAAAAATTAGGACATTTGCAGTGGAGAAAAGCAAGATGTTCTGCTGCCTCAAAAACAAGCTATGGCCTGTGCTGGTTTTAGGTGGCCATGCGCCTTCTTAAATCCAGCCCTGGTATGCCTAAGTAAAAAAAAATTTAAAAAATCTTCCTTTGCCCTTTTCTTCCCATTTAAAAATAATAATCCTGGATGCTTATTCACATCCACTGTAAAGTTCCTAGTATTAAATGCAATTTTGGAGGTAAGCACCGCTACCAGACCTTTCCTTCTCACTCAGTGGGCTTGGAGAGTAATTGCAGAAATTTAAAACTTACACTGCTTAAATTGGTCAACGTATTATTTTCTGTGAAAAAAACGAGCATTGAAAGCAACTTTGAATGGGCAAGCTAGCACCAATGACATTGGTGTCATTGTGCTCCCTGACACCATCAAACACAGCAGAAAGACTTTTACCAGTGAAAACCCAGAATATTCATTTTTCTATTGTGTTTTCTGCTAATTCAAGAAGACAGGACTTGAAAAAAAACCACAAGAACAACAGGGTGGTGGCTGAAGCATTCCAGGCATTACTTTCTTTCTCTCTGCCTTTTTCAAAAACAAGCAAGTCTGTACATATATTGCTTTGCTATAAATAAATGCTAATTAACTTCTAAGTCACAGGCTGATTTGCAACGCAAAACTGCCTGGTCCTAACAAGGCTCACAATGTCATGATTGTAACAAAAGAGCAGAGAAGCCATCTCAGCCCTAAAATTAATCAAATTATGTTTTGTAGCAACATCGTCCAATCCTACTGCCTTACAAAATATCTTTGGCTCAGTTAGCAAAGTAATTCTTGCTTTTCTTTCAGTAAAAAATGACTGCTTCAAGTTGACTGCAGCCTATAGTTTGCAAGTCTTATTTTTAACTCTGATATCAACCCAAACTGTGTCTTACAGTAGCAGCTGCTGCTAAAACTACAAGACTAAAAATTGCTACACAGTTGACTTTGGCTGGGCTGGAAAATGATTCTGTTTGCTTGTCTTTCCGACAAAGATAATATTTTTAGCTGTTTGACTGGCTGAAAAGTACAGATCCAACCTCTGACATTCCTGGTTGCCATACTACTGACTGGAACACCTACAAGAAACTTAAGTGTATATCTTCCCCTAATTCTAACACCTTCTCCAATGCATTATGTGAGCAACCAAAATCAACTACTCATCCCTCATTTGGCATCTCTGCTGAATTAGTGCAGCCAGTCATTTCCAGATCCTCTCCTTCGACTAGCATTTGGTGTTTCTGTGAATAACGTTATTCAGCCTGCCCCAGCCTCCCCCATGCATCTGCCTTATAAACAAGAAATATAAAGTTTTCTTTCCGCCTCCTTCTCACCCCCAAAACCTACTGTTTCTTCATCCTGTGGTCAACATTGGTATGGAGAACTCCAAATTATGTGAAGAGCTGTGTCTGTTATTCAAAGCACAGTAATTTTAAGCCAGGTGTTCACTTACACAAGTATGCAAATCTACAGTACCTCTTCCAAGTCTTTGCCTTCCATATCTTTTAATATGACTGACTTTCCTTTTGTAATAAGAACAGCATCGCCTTCCCACTTCTTGTGCTTTTTCTTTGATGCCTTACACCACACAACACTGAAATATTTCGCAAGGCAGTCAGGTTCCTCCTGAGCTGCTGCTTCCTTTGCTGTCCCTGATGCTGGCAAATACATTGCATCTAAAAGGGAAATAAAATAACAAAGAGTATTTCAGTTTCTCTTGATGAATCGTACAGTCATTTGCATTTCAAACAAATCAAGGACAATCTATGCATTCATCTTACATAAACAAAGTGGTGTGTTTCCTGTCCTGGGCCGCTTATGGTAAGTTTGGACCAAGACAGAACAGCACATACGGACTCATCCTGAAATAGGAACCATTAAATTGTTTTTGGAAAGTATGCACTCTCAGGAAAAACACATTACTTGGTACATTAATAAGCAAGCTCCTGATTTGACATACAAGACTATGAGAGTGGAAAAAGGATAAAAGGAAAGGCTGGGAAAAAAAACAAAAGGGAAACAAGAATAGGAGAAAATGAAAACAGGGTCCTGGTGAAACAGTGCTGGGCAATGTGCTGGAAGCAAGGACAGGAACACCAAACTCAGGAAAGGGAGCAAAGGAGGCCAGTAACCAGATCTGAGGCTGAAGTCATTAGTACTAAATGGCAGCATAACCATAACTGTAATAATGCAAAAGATTTCTTCAACAGCTTTCCTTATACCCTTTAAAAATAAGTAATTGTGCAAATCTTGAAACAGACCATGTCTTGAGTTTGCAGCAACTCAGATGTTGTCAGTAGGCTTAGACTGATTTAGATTTGTCAGCATTTACCTAATTATAAGTGTCACAAATGTAAATATTAATAGGAAATATTTAGGTCAATAAGGTTAATCAATAGAACAGACAGCAGTGGATTATAATATCGATTAAAAATAAACACGTGCTTTCAAGAGTTATCAATCTGACAAGAGTAATGGTAGAGAAGTCCCCAGCATTACCTCAAGGAATATCTGTAGCATTCCTTTTCAGCACATGCACAGCTTCAAAGGGAGAATCAGACTAATTTTCATTAAAATATCCTTGCATGCTGGTTAAAGGCTTAAATCGGTTTGCTCCTTTGATTCCATCTGGGATTCAATGCTATACAAATGTTTTACAAAAAGTGCTTATGCCACAGACTAACCTTTCCAAAATTTCCAAGTGTGCTGGTATTTAAAGGAGAAGCAGCGAGAGTAAACTCTTGCTCTCAATAATGGTCCAATAAAGAGGCAACTTTATCACTTCTACATGAAGTCCACATATTCCTAGAACTCTGAAACACTCAAAAGTTACATGCCTAAAACAAGTGCAATTTTTCAGATTAGCATTTACTAAAAAGGTATCATCGAAATGAAAAATGCTGTATTTATGGAATAGAATTTTCTTCCCAAAGCTCTCTAAAAGTTTTATTGTCCGTATAGAACTCTACGCTAACACAGCGCGTAACGTAGATAGGATTTCCCATAGATGGATGTTTCTGCAGGGCATTAGCCAACATCTGTAGTGTTTCGTATGACAGATGCCCCCCTCATCTCCAAGGGGCAACAGAGCAGCTACTGAACGCTGGCACATCACAGAAGGGGGAGAAAATGGAACAGAGCATCTCTTTTTAAGAAGCAGGGGATTCTTTGTAGATGAAACCTGGGAAATGAGCCAGAGAGCCAGAATAAATCCTTGCAGTTTTGCAAAAGGTACAAGAGCTCTATTGGATCTTCAGTAATCACAAGTGATAAGATTTCAAGGAGCTTAGGGGAGGGGGGGGAAGAGAGAAACCCCATACATTGCTAAAAATACAAAAGACTAATTTAATTCTATATTGAGTTTCTCATTGTCAACTGATTCAACAAGATAAATACAAGATTGTTTTCTCTTTGCTTTTCAAACTGATTAAACTCTTTGTTTAATCAGCAACTTCTTTCCTTGTATTAAGATTTTAAGTAACTGTTACTGCAAGAACTGGAGATTTCATTGCAGAACCACCTTCTTCTCTCTTGAAGAATGGCCATCATAAACAAATGACCAACTCCTTGTGTCCTCCACTGACCTCCCACATGAGTTTGGTGACCCCTGAGATCTGTTTTATGGTCATTGCTCTTTTACTCAGGGAGTCCTGCATGGTAGTATCTGAATCAGCCGTAGATTAACTTTCAGATCAATAACAATTCTTCAAACTCTTCTTATCCCTACTTCATTTAAAATAATAAACCCAATAATTTAGGCACAGGGACGGAAGATGCTAGCATTTTGTAATAGTGACTTTTGCCAAAAAGGATTTCTAAAGCAACCTGCCCCAGTGAGCAAACTGGGCATCAGTATTCCGTATAATACTACAAGTTCCTATGGGAAAACTGAAAAATAACAGCCTCTGCAATGCTCAGATTTCTTCCCTCAATTTGTCTTCTGAATTATCATAATTTCTGTTTATAAAAATATCCAACAATGATTTGTTTCTATGCTACGTAAAAATATTCTCCTTTTACCTCTAACTACAGTAGAGTTTCAGATAAAAGTGTTAAGGTATTTGTCTTTTTTAAAAAATTAAACATTTTTATGTAAAAATAATTACATCCTCTCAAGATTATCTTCCATACAATTTCCTTGAATAGATAACCTAAACCTGTGCAATAACAGTGCTGATCAGGTACTTGCATTCAACCTGCTTGTTATCTTGCCATTTTTGTTTCTATTCAGCATCACACCTACTTGACTTCAAAGATTTACCCCACTGCAATAGCAGAATATCCAAATTAAGTAAATACAGTGCCAGAAACTTTTCAGAAACTGAAAGAAGACTGGTATGGTACGCAGAGGGACTAAGTTCAGTGTTTGATACAGGGGTACAGAGAGCAATGGTTTCAACCGTAAAACCCTTGCTGCTCACTGACTGTAGACAGTATCTTAAATAGAGCTGGGTTTGCTGAGACCCTGGAAGATAAACTGCAGTTGGAAATTCCGAGCCCTGCTGTTAATCAGTTTAGACTAAAAATAATAAGTAACAGGAACTACGCGTACACCGTAGTTAAAGATCAGGAAATCATGTCCACTCATTTCTCTCCCAAATAGCAAACTGCCCAGCCTGGTTTCTCTAACCATGAAGAAACTCTAACGAGTGATGTGTCTTTCCTCCCAGAATGAAGGGCTTGGGAACTTTAACGATGTGGCTAATAAGGCTTCAAAAAGCTTCCACAAAATAAAAGCTTTCTCTCTAGTTGAGAAAGCAAAGGCTTAAGTTTCAAGACACAAACCATAGCCTAGTTGATATGAGGAAAAGTTTCAGCAGCCTCAGGAAGGTGATGATTTACAGAAAGCGGGACAGGCTCCAGGAGAGGGGACGGGGAGCATTCCAATGGCAAACTAGTTTAACCAGTTTCTGATGAGCAGGATTTACAGAAAATGCATTGATTAAGCGCGTCAGGTTACTCCCAATGCACCAAGAAAGCGGCCGCATTACGAAAGACTACACAAGGTAACTCAGACGTGCATTTCCAGTAGACAATACACTGTAGCTTGCAGCACTGTAAATAGGTGTTGCCGTAAGGAGCGCGGCATGCTCCAGTGAGCAGGGCACCAGACACCTCGGCCTGAGGTGTGGCTTAATGGATGGCTTAACCCCACGGGCGGGCGGCAGGCAGGCAGGCTGCTGCCAAAGCCCACCAGCTCACCTTTCCTTCCCTCTGCTTCCCATCCACCAGCTGCAGGCAAGCCAGCTCAACGAACCCCAGCAGCAGCTACAGTCAGTACAGGGGAGGGATACGTGCGGTGCAGAACAAGGAGACTGGGAGGCTGCCCCTTTTTTCTCTGGCAGCCGCTGTTAGGTTGGGGCGATTTTGAGACCACGGGACCTGTCAAGCTACCCAACACCTCCATACCTGAACTTCCACGTTGTAAGCGTGTACGGAACGATGGAGAGTTTTCCCTCAACTGCTCTGAATCTGCTAAATAAAAAGCATTGTTGAAATGCAAAAATTGTAATTTAAAGAAGACAGCTTTGATTCAAGTTGCGCTCTATGGTGCTACGGAATTAAAACGAGGTAGGCAGAGCCAAAAATCTGGACTGAGGTAAAAGGAGATTCGGGCTCTGAATGAATCGCAACCAAACCTGGATGGCAGTGCTCTGCTGCAGCCTCTGCAGCCACTCCGCACGTGTGCCACCAATCTGCTCCGCAGAGCCGCGTCACCTCCATCTTCTGAGTAAAGGAAGCAATCAAAAAGTTCCTTAATCAAATTAATTCATAGAATTTAGAGAACAGATGTGTACATAGCAGTTAAATGTCTTGTTCCATATGAAAGATCTGTATGTCAAACATTCCTAAGATATCCCAGGAATATTTAAAGAAACAGAAGACACAGATAGCATTATCCTTCATTTGCAAAGCAATTTCAGTCTAATGATAAACTTAATACTAAACCAACATGTAAATGTATATTAGTGTGCCTCGAAGATGGAAACCCATGTAATAACTCCTCTCTACAGCACTTCTATGAGACTTTTATGAGGAGCACAACCAGCAAGAGTTGAGCTAACTTGCCCTAAAATCATAGGAATCAATGACAGCTGGGATTACATTTCAGAGTCACTTGATTACAATAGAGTGCTTTGTACACTTCTTTTAAACAGAAAATGTATAATATCTGATTTGTCTTGCACACATCAGCATCATTAGCAAACTCACCTAAAGACTGATATTTCAAGCAGGAATATTTTCTTTGAAAAACACATCATTGTTTTACATCCAAAATTATTTTTAAACAAAAATGCAAATGACCAAATATATTTTAATATTTGTAAACATCTGTGTCAAAGTCACTTTACATGCATAGCTTTCATCTGAAACTCCAATCAAACTAGCCTCTTGATTGCTGAATGTGGATTACCACGGGGATCTCCATTAGGAGATCTTGCTTTACATAGCTGATAACTTTGCCAGGCCTTCATCAGTCCATCTGACATCCTCCATGTAAGCTGCCTCAGTTTAAGCACGCGTATCTACACGCACACACAATGTCCATAAAAAATTTCAGTGAAAGTAAAATCACTGTTTATGAGAACAAAAATCACAGATTAATACAGGTTTAGTCACAACAAACTATTACTCCTTGTATAAGCTCTAATAACTCAAAACTCTGGAGAAGAAT